TTTTTTTTTTTTTTTTCCCCCCAAAAAAGAAAATAATAAAAAACCCCCCCCCCCCCCCCCCCCCCCCAAGTGGAATGCTCAAGCCGCCCCCGGACAGGGGAAATTTGGTTTTTCTTTCTTTTAAAACAGCCCGCCCCCCCTGAAAAAAAAATTTTCGGGAATTAAAAGAGAAAAACCCCTTAAACCGCCGCCTCTTCCCCCTCTTTTATAGTTGGGGGCCGCTCCCCGAGGTTTTTTATGGCGCCCCCCCCCCCCCCCCCCCCTCTTCCCCCCCTCTGCACCAGCTCTCTGGGTTCGGCCCTGGGCTGGACGGTGAGCATCCTCGAGGTGTCGAGCGCCACCCGCGGCTCCTCCGAGTCCCGGGCGCCGCGCGTCGTCGTGGAGGCGCGGGTCGGCTTCTTGAGCTTCGACGGAGGAGCGGTGGTTCCCTCGGAGGAGGTCACGGAGTAAGACGTTAATACATTATTAATTATTAATGCGACATTACGACAACCTGAACTCACATTAGTATTTTGGTACTTTTACTAAAGTATCTGAACTCTTCTTCCGCTGCTCAGGTCGTATTTAATGTGTCATAGTCGTTGAATCACTGAACACAATGTTTCCTTCAGGAAGCTGCGGAGCCAATCAGCCGCCGTGAGGGCGGAGCTTGTCAAAGTGTTCGGGGAGGGGCTCCAATTCCAGGTGGAGGTGGAGGCAAAGTCTCCAAGTCCCGCCTCCAGCCAGGCCGTGGTCATCGCTCTGTCCGTCATGCTGGCCCTGAGCATGCTGGGAATGATCGTGGCCGTCGCATTGATCGTCAGGTGAGCTTCTTCTTCATAGCAGGTCTACTTGTTTTAGGTAATGGACTCCCAAACATCTCAGCTGCCCTCAATACATTACCTCGGAAATCTGAAACTCTGTAAAGTTGTATTTTTAGGAATTCCTCCTCTTATGTTTTTAAAAAAAAAAATTATATTATAATTTATATTATAACTGCCGTGATAAAATAATTCAACTCTTGTGCATGTCCTCCCCCTCAGGTTCAAGTGGACGCAGAAGCTTCCGGAGAGCGATAAAGAGAGTTTTGACATCGACCGACGTGATGAATTCTACACGTAAGTCCTCGAGGTCACGCTGGTCGCGTGTGTTTCGCGGTTTTAATGGAAACCCGTCTGTTTTGTTGCAGGAACGGGTCCAAGGACCTTCTGAAAACCTCCCAACAGGTAAAGAAACGAAAATAATGGCGAGGAATCTCAAAGTGTCTCCAGGAATTCCTCAGAATGTGACCACATTCCACTACTTGTGATTCAGGGACAGAAGTCAGACGAGAAGAGAGACAAGGACCAGCAGCAGAGGACGGACAGAGAGACGGAGGACGGAGACAGCCGCACTTCTTCTCTTTGATCCAAACAGCTTTAGGTCTGATTGTTTGTTTAATTACAGTAAGTTCATACATTTAAGGCAAGATTTGTTCATTTGCAAATATTTAGATTCTTCAAGAATTCCATAAATGTTTAATCATTTATAAAATATAATCAGTGTAAAGCATCCCCTGCTTTACGGTCTATTTGCTATAAACACATGTTTACTGAGGGAATACATCAAGAGAGAAGTAGAGTCACTTTCTCATAGACTTCTATGGGGCCAGAGGAGTCGCCCCCTGCTGGTCACTACACAGAATGCAGCGTTAAAGAAACTACACGTGGCTTCACTTTTCAGAGTGATGTAAACTACATGAAATCTTCAGCCTCCGTAGAACCAAACAGAACTAGACTGAGCATCTAATAATTGTATAATAATCCTCTGTAATTTCGCCTTGTGTTCAGACGGAATATAACAAATGCCATTTTATTATAGAAAACTGAACCTCAATTAAATTGGTTTGATTCATTGGTAAATCGTCAGAGATCTAAATTCAATTGTTACTTCGTATTGGCAGGTTTTTTCTTTTTTTTGATGCACCTGTTTTGAAAATAATGCGTGAGCAGATCGATCCACATCTGACTCGATAAGTCAATATTCTATTTGCAACATATATTAAAAAAAGGAAATATTTTCTGCGTTTTACATTTGTAAATGTAAGTACTTTTATTCTTTATGAAGGTTTGTTTGTAATGTGGAGCAACCTGATGTGTTGATGGATTAGAAACAAATTAAAATAAAACTGTATTAAGTAAGTTCTTCTAGTTATTTGTTTCTATAGGAATTACTAACTGGTACTTTGATTCGACTTTTGTTTTCTCCGAGTCGTTCGTCCACCCGAACAAAGCAGGTCAAATATAAAGCACCGCTTTATGGGAAGGCGGCGTCCTCTGAAAGGGGCGTGGCCGAGCTTTTGAATGTAAGGAAGACGTATGAAGACCTGCAGAGGGGACATATTTATCCATATGTAACAGGAGACGGTCACACTGGAGCCTCTCAGTGAAGGTGGGAATTGTGGGGGTCCGCTAGCAGAACTAGACTCGGCTGATGATGTGATGATGTAACTTCCACTCAGGGACAAATACAATGATAGTCTACTTATTTGGAATTTAAAATTTTAATTTTGTTCAAGAATGGGAGTCCAAATCAAAATATATTAACTTTACAGAATCTTGACTTTTCGTCAATGTCTTTAATTTAACACAATTCTACAATCTTACCCCGGCGAAGGACTGCCTCCGGATCAAATTCTGCATTTACACACTCACATAACACACAATCCAGTCACGTTAGTTATCCACAAACCCTTCCACACATGTATGTACATGTACACGTGTATATGAGCAAGTCCTCCATCTTACATACTGTCAGGACTCAGGACGCTACAACTCGGAGAGTGTAACCAGTCCCCCGACGGGGTTTATTGTCCAACGCATGCAGGAGGACGGTCGTCCGGTGGGCCGTGGGGGTAACCGGCGAATCCGGGTTTTCCGCGTGGTGCGGGCCGAGCGCCAGGCGCTGGTCTCTGAAGACAAACCAAGAGGGGTTAGAACACGTCTGTCTCACCGGCCCTCCTGGTTTGGTGTCAGCCTGCCGCTTAACTGGGGTTGGGTTAAGCGGCACCAACTGCCGGCGCTCAAGCCGTGAATGTGGTGCGGCCGGTTTCCATGGCGCCTGAATTAAAACGTTCCTCTCTGATTGTGCCTATAGTTAGGGCTGGCTCAGGTCAGCCCGGACCAGCCCTTAGTTAAGCTGCTGTAGGCTTAGACTGCCGGGGGAATACTTAGGACACACCGAGCTCCTCGCTCACTTTTTGGGCTATACAAAATAAAATGAATTGAATTAAATTGAACTGAACCACTGGATTGTTTCCAACAGACCAGCACGCCAACTGGAATTTACTCACGCTCAACACGTGCCTCTATACAGTAATTAAATGACTTACAAGATATACAATGTGTTTAATAAATATTGCAGTTAGTTAGTGTGTTAGTGGAGGTAGAGTCTGAAGATGTGAAGGCTCCCTGTGGTCCATAATTCCTACTACTGCTTACATTCCTGGCAGAATAATTACAGAAAATGAATCAACATTTATGAACTCTTCTTTTAGCCGGAAAACGACGATAACATCAAAGCAGCTTCTTGTTCTGCAGCTCATGCACACTAATGACGTAGAGAGGAAGGAAGCTCTGCTGGGGATGAACAGCAGCTTGT